GTGGTTTTGGGATCCGACGCGAATGTGTATTGATCTTTAGTCAAGGGGTCCAAGGCTTGGGCTTCAGGTGTTGAGGCTTCTGAACGAGAACGTCCACATGCTCTTGGGTTTTCGATTGTCACCGTTGCAGATAACACATCCGACCATCCACGTTTTCGGCAAGAACGACGAGTACTATTTCTATGGCCGCAGGTGCAACACGCGTCTTCTGCAATTCAGGGTGAAGATAAATCCAAAATCCCTAGCTCCTGAGCAGGTTCCTAAGTTAGAGGCTCTATGGGGCAGGGTGTAGGCCGCAGATCTCATAGGAGTCGCTGCTCGTTGTATTTGCGGTTGGATCCTGGATGTCACATGGGAAAGGAAGCTCAATGAAGGTCTCAATCCTCACGTGGGCGTGCAGTTCAGCGTCGAAGGACAGCCTTTCTCCGGGCATTACAGTAGACCACCCGAAGGGCCTATCAGAACAGGGCTTAGGACCTGTAATGTCTGGTTCTTGGTCCGCCTTTCCAGGGGCGCGGGACGCTTGGCTCCTGAGGACTACTACGAGGCGAAGACCGGCCATGCTAGGATCAGCTTGGTTCAGAATCCCATGGCTTGATGTAGCTCCAAATTTGGGTCCCCAGACCTACAATTCTTAAAGTTTGAGTCCTTCAGCTGTTGGCATCTGCCCCAAGGATAGCCCGATTGGTCTGAGTCCGAATCTACCCCAAAGCAGCTTCAACACGGTTGTCGGAGTTCGGAGATGTGACATCGTAGACGTGTCCGAGATTACCGCCGGTCTTCCTTTCTTGAAGCCTTGGCCGCCGTCTTGAAAAAACCTTGCAACCTTGCAAAGTGCCCCAAGGGCCGCCCGAAAAGTCGAGCCTTACCATGAGAGCATGTCATGTGGGACCATGCCAGCCCGGCGCAAGAAGAAGTTTTCAGGCACCTCTCATTCTCGAGCACATAGAGGGGCACCGGCTTCCGTCGCTGCAGCCCCAAGCAGGCATTGGGTGGGGGGCGGGTCCTCGGCTTTTCAAGAGAGGTCAGGGAGTTGACTGGGAGCTCACGGGGCCTCTTTGGCAGGTGCACTTTACGCCCAAGTGGTGAAGGAAGTCAAGGTCTGCTGTGGAGTTCCTCTCGACGGAGGCAGGGCTCGGGCAATGCTTTCCTTTGCCTCAGTAGGTGTGAGCTTTCCGAGGTTACGACCCCAGCGAGTTCCACTCCTGGCGCCGCAGTCGTCGACCTGCTTCCTGGCTGGGACCTCCTTGCCCCCGAGGCTCAAGAAGTCCCTATGGCAGCACCGCACTGGCCCCAAGAATCTGCTGGCTCAGCTTGAAACCCTACATTAACAGACTCTCATAACATTTATTGCACCCCCCCGAATGCGGGGAGAAGCGGGGACGAGGATGACGGCCCCAAGCTGACACAGCTAAAGCCCACAAGGCAAAGCCCCTGGCACCACCAGTGTTGGAGATGGAGCAGCACCACGGCGCGATTGTAGGGCGGGGGATGCCGCATGAGTTTCTCGAGAGTGACCCGCTTTCGCGTCCTCTCGTCGGTAACTTGGTGTTTTCAGTTGTTCGAAATCCTGAGCCCTTCCGAGCCCTGAGACCTAAAAACTGGACTCCTACGCCATGAACGCAGGATTGCGCACTTCCGCTTGCCCACTTAAAGAGAGCCCAGGCAGTTCCAGCATGACTTGCTGAATCGCTTTGATGCAGCATGTTCTCAAGAAGCAACGGACATTTTGTTGAAAAGGCTTCAGGAAGCAAGCACGGCCCAGAAGTTGGGCCTGCTTCTCGAGTAGGGTTGCAAATTTCCCACAGCTCTCAAACTTTGGACGGTAATTTCATCGAAAGCTTTCTTCGATTCCCGGACAGCCCTGAATTCGAAGCTGAGGCACGTCCTCCTAAACCCCAAACCCTTAACCCTAACCCCAACCAATCAAGTCTCATTGCACTGAAACTTTCGTAAAGCCGGAGCCCCGAACCCCTACACCCCTAAACCTGTAAACCCCCAAAGCCAAAACTTTAAACTTGAAGCGCCGAGGATGATTCCGCGCAAGCTGCGGATTTTGGCTTTGACCGGAGGCCTGCTGTTGTGGGCTTAGGGTCTACTGTAGCGGGTCGGAAAACTACGAGAATTATTCCCTGCGGCCTGTATCGAGTGAAAGATACCAAAAGTCTTACTATTTCTAAACACTGGGGCCACTGGGTCACCAGGGCTCCACATATTATGGGTTCCGGGACCATTTTCGCTGCGAGGGCTGGACCGTCATCTCCTTCCCTCACCCTGATCCACACTCTTAGAGCTCAGTTGCTCAAACAGCTCCAGGTCAGGGCAATCCTCACTATACTATAGATTATAAACCCTGAACCCTTTTACCAGTCCTTCGATTAGTGCAGATGATGGATGTTGGTTTTCGTTATCAATTTTCTGTGATCTGTTTGCCATTTTGTCTTACATGCTACATGACATGTTATATGTCATAGGTTACATACTACACATCATATATTGTACCCCATCACATGAAGAGATGGCCACACGCCAGGCCATTCCTGCACGGAAGTGCTGAGGCTGGGCAACTTGGAAAGTGTGGAAGGGCATATGATAGTATGGTTTAGTATGATATAACGGTTTATAGTAACAAAATAAAGCGTAGTATACTGCAGTGTAGCATACCATGTCATCATGTTATAGCACAAAGAAGCATAGTACAGTATAGTATGCTGTAGTACAGTTTTGGGGGCTGCTCGCAATTGCTGCTTGAGAACCGAGGGCTCCCTGCTTACATCTGGTTATTTCTCGCCAAGTTGGCTTCCTCTGCTCGTCTTCGGTGTAATTACCTGCTCTCGTGACTCATTCTCTGCGCACCATCCCGTGTTCTGGAATGCCGCTGCCAACCCTCAACTGAACCAAAAACAAGATTCATACTACCATGCTGTGCGGCTTTGTCCCAGGTCGGTGCAGAGAGTGGGAGATCGAGGGCAAGAGAGCGTTATCAACGTGAGCCCCCTTGCCCGGCGTTGATTGGACACTGTGTGCAGGTACCAGTTAGCACCACTGCGGCAGGCTGTTGGCCGGGATCTGGCTGCCACCGAGCTGCAGTTCCGATGTGGGGGTTTCAGGGGGATGGGAGCTGTCTAGTTTAGGCAGTTTTGGGAAGTGAGAACTCCTGGTTGTATGTAGCATCAAAGACCGAGGATCATGGATATGATGACCTTGCTGATGGTGTTGCCCATGTTGAGATGATCGCAAGATGATCACAGGCTGAGTGGGTCGGCAGAAAGCCGTCAGTCGCAACAAGTAGAGTCGCAGTCGGAACGCCACCCGTCTAGTAGTGGACACCAGAAAAGCTCTTCGGTGCTCTTCCGCGGACCTTCAAGACTTGCAAGCTTTCTGAGGAGTGGACATTCATCGAAGGCTCAGAGGACGAAGCGCTGGGGCTTCTAAGGAAGGGGTTCCAGGGTACTGAAGCTAATGCGAGCAAGGCGGAATGCGCGGAAGGTCAAGCCAAGAAGCGCACCAGACTACAGAAAACGATTTGAACCGGCTGACCACGCACATACCGCACGATATGTTCTTCTGGTTCCCACCATTGATTGTTGCTGCCGCTGCAGCAGCGGCTGCTGTCGTTGTCCCTGTACTGATGGTGATCTCCTGGCATCTTTTATGTCATAGATTGCAAGTATGACAGTATGACTGACCAGGCATAATCCTCATGGTCAGTAGTAATACCACTGCAGAAGACAAACCTGAAATATGGTTTCGAGTTCCACAGCGTGTCTATTGTGATCTTCTGGCCTTTGTGGACGTGCGTTTTCTTTGTGATTTCTTTTAACATTATTGGCGATGCAGCCCCAGCGTGTTGAGAGGTAGATTGACCGGTAGACTGTCTGTCAGGCAAGCTGATGGCGTTGTAGAACGCATAAACGTACAACGGCAGCCCCTGAAGGACTGGAACTGGTATGAGGGCGAACCCATCGTGAGCGACATGGAGCAGAAGTTGGCCAAAGGTCGAGCCCAGTTCTCACGAGCGTTTGTGTGTGCGGGTTCCTGCATTGCATACCTAGCAAAGCATTGGCACCCGCAATCGTTCTAAAGCCCCGCCAGATGTTTTCAACACCCAATGCCTTGCAAAAGGTGCCCAACTGAAGAATTGGTACATGGACTCCATCTACGAGGAGCTCTAACAGGTTTGCGGCTTCTATGTCTGGTAGGTCAGCGGAGTGGAGATAGTTGTCAGGAGTGTTCTGCATAGATAATCGACCTTGGCACCATACATGAAGCCCCCCCCGTTTGTATGGTCTGTGCAATGTTCTGTGCTGCAGGTCAGGGACCGGGTGAAAGGTTCAGTGTACCAGGCGGAATCTTGAGTCGTTTACCTGTTCTAGCCACTATGCTCGTCCAAACCCGAGGGGGGAAGACTGCAGAGACTTTTGTATACGTATTTTTAGGACCAGATCCTTTCTTGCCGGCACAGCTTCGCGTAGCTTTGCCGGTGGGAAGTTTAAGTCCGTAGAAGCTGCGGTCGATTGATCAAGACTGGTAATACCAAGCACTGATAACATAAAAACCAACAAGCACTGAAGTTATGCTTCCGTTCCTAGAGAGGAACACACGAGGTCGCTTTTTCAGGGGGTTTCAGGTTCAAGTGTTCCGGAGCTTTTCGAATGAGCAGCCAGGAGACGCCAACGAAGAAGCCGAACCGCGAGAAGCAGTTCGATCCGAAATCACGCCTGGGGCCCAACACTGCAGGGTCCAAGGTCCCAAGCCCTAGAGCCCAAAGCCAAACGGTTTCGGGACTTGGTTAGGAAGATTTGGGAAGGTCGTCAGTGCCAGGCTGCATACTTCAGACGGGGTTTCGGCATCACCAGCTTGATCAGGGTTTCTAGGCCCGCAGATTATGCGAGTGGGGGTCAGGACGAGCGGCAGCGGCAGTAGCAAGAACAAGAATAGCAAACAGCAGTAGGAGCAGGATATCGAAATCAGTACGGGAAAAATATTAAATATCAACTTGTGCCCAAGCTCAGAAGCCCAGAGCCGCTGAATGACTCGCCGCCGCACGGAGACCGTGAGAGACAATGTTGAATCCTGTCGACAACAGATTTCTTTAGCTGCGAAGCCCAGAGTCTGACTCCCCAAATGCCGAAAAGGGGGAATCTTCAGGGCGATCAGGCTCGAAGTGGTTAAGTTACCAAGAGACTCATGCCCTGGCTTGGGCTTCCAGGTGTGGAGCATCTTCGCTGCCGTTGATCCCTTTTGCCAGTTCTGTGGGGGGTTGTATGGTTCGGAAAGTTTACGGAGGGTATTTTGGGCTTCCTGCTCGGTGGTCTCGGCTTGAGGATGTCGGCTCGTGCATGGCTCAGGAGGGGTATTTTGAGCATGCTCTGTACCATTCTTCTAGCACTTTTTCGGACTCCTTTGAGTTAAGAGACTCAAACCGCAAAACCCCAGACTCCTCTAAACCTTAAACCCTAGACACCTCTTAACCCTAGACCCTGAATCCCGGACCCCTCTTAATCCATACCCGGACTGTCAAAGGCCCCAGTCTCAGCAGCTAGGACCAAGGATTTTGGAGTTGAAGGTCTTCAGCTTCAGTGTCATTTCGAAGCAAATCTAGGCTTCAGGTCGCTTTAACTTTAGGTTCTAGCGTTTAGGGTTCAGCGTTTCGTTTCAGGACTCAGGGCTTCAGGATTTGCAACTCAGTTTGGCTTGGATTCTTCCCCGTCGGAAACTAGGCTGCTGTTCGGGGTGCTGAACCCATCACACGCAGGGTTCCCTGTGTGGTTGCGGCACACAGGCTACGTAAGCCCATGTAACACTGTTCCGCGACAACCGAACCTTCCACCGGCACCTACACTGGACTAGACTGAGCTATAACGTAGTATAGCCGAGAGCTAAGACTATAATGACTATAATGTAGTATACTCGACAGCTCTTATCAGGTACCACAAGATTCCAGAGAAGGTGGAGCGCCTGAGGGAGCAGATCTATGAGGATGGGCCCTGGGACGTCCTGGTGGCGTTCTCGCAGGCTGTGCAAGTTGCACATCCAGAGACAAGTGGATTGCGTTGTAGCAGTTTTGCTGGCTCTCTAGATTCTTGTGTACGGCCTAGTGGGAGGAGGCGGTGGCAGTCTTAGTGTCGACATTGCAGTTGTTTTTGCAATAACTGTCATGACCACTACTATTCTTACCAACACGACGACGACGACACAGACTACTTCTTCTTCTTCTGCAACAACAACAACAACTACTACTACTACTACTACTACTACTGCTGCGGCTACTACTGCTCCACGACGACGACGACGGCAACGACGTTGACGACGACTAGTACTACTACGACTGCTGGCCTGCTGGAACTGGGGAAGTGCCGGTGATGGTGGTACTCTGGGATATTCGTCGTCGTAGGAAGCGTCAGCATTCCCGCTTTTGCGAAAGCATCATGACAATGATCTTGGTCGCGAACCCGAAAATCATCATCACCATCGCCATCGTCGTCGTCACCATCTTTACTACATTATTCGTGTTATTCTTTGCAATAATATCGTTTTTAGTTTTTAGTAGGGCTAGTACTACCATTCCTAGCATGGTCATCGGCATGGTCATGGTCGTGGCTATGACCAGGATCAAAGCCTTTCGTGTGATGCTGATGGCGATGATGGTACTGATGGTGATGAGGAAGAAGAAGATGATGATAATGCTGTTCGTGATGAGTACCTTCGGCATGATCGCTTCTCTTATTTGCTTCCATCGACACTGCTGGCATAGCCATCATCGCTATCATCATTAGCATGATGACGTTCATGATCGTCAGCATCCACATCATCATCGTCAGCATCATCATCACCATCATCATCTCCTCATCAGCAGCAGCATGATCATCAACAGCACAGGAGAAAGGCGGCTCTACCAGCGAAACATTCACAATCAAAACGTCAGAGCAGTGGATTGTCCCTAGTCACTAGTCCCATCTGGCCCCGCTCAGGGCTGCATCATGACGCACCTGCTGGCGGGGCACTTGCGAAAGGAGCCGCCGGCCAAACAGGCCTGAACCGCAAGCTCTCTGCCCTTTAAGCGCTCTAAGCCGTCCCGAGTTGAGAGACTTGGTGGCCGAACGTATAACTCTCGCTTCGGAGAAGGCCCAGCAAAGGCAGAAGATTTGGGGGTTCGGGTAAGCTTCCGATTCCTCGAGTGCGCATGTCGGTTCAGACGCATGCAAGAGCACGCGGCGTTTCCCAGCTTGAGCCTCGAAGCCTCGAAGCCTCGAAGCCTCGACTCGCCTAAACGGTCCTTTCGACCCCTCAGCCGCAGGCTTCCATGCGCTGGCATCACACGCGCAATGGCACGGAGCAGATGCCATGGCGACTCAGCGCTTCTTGGCAGAATTCGGCGGAAGCCGAAGGCTCCAAGGCGGCGGCTGTTTTGCGTTGTAGCTCCGGTCCGAGGTCTTTTTCTGTGGCATGCACATCCGCGACAAGGTTTGGGGCACGGGAAAATTGGCTTCGGGATCTTTGGCGACGGGGAACCTCACTTTCTGACTCGGCTAGAAGCTGGGGAGTCGGGTTGAAAACCGTGCTGTGATCTCAGCAGGTTTTTCCTAGCTAAACTCTGAACCCAAGGCTCAAATCCCACACCCGCAAAGACGACGCTCAACAGATCTGCACTCCAAGTTTGTAAAACCCTAAAACAAAATTTAAACCCCTAAAACCCTAAAGCCGCTAAACCCCTAAACCCTAAACCCCAAGTAGGGTTTAGGGTTTGCTTCCCGAAGCTGCAAGGGCTGAACTTGCCAGGCAGGGACTCCACGTCTTGAGCCTTCGAGATCTACGGCGGGCTCCATTTAGGTTTGGGGTTTAGGGTTACCGGTTCAAGGGTTGGCTTTCTCAGTCCAGGTCGTAGAGGTAGTTCTCAAGAAACTTTGGGGATAGCATGCTCTTGAGCGCGATGTTTTGAGGACTACATGTTACAGCCCGCATGATATGTCGTAAGTTGTGCTTGTGCAACCCGGGAAGCGTGCAAACTTCAACACGTAATTTGCGTGGACCTTCCAACTCCGGATCTTTGTGCCCAGCAGCTTTTTCGGATGTCCGTTCGTTCTTCGATGTTCTTCTTGAATCTCCGGGCTGGTACTGTGCTGAGGGTCTGTAAGACTCGCGCAGCTTTTGGTGCGCTTCTGCACTTTGCGAAGGAGTTTATGCACCTCTTTGAGACACCTCTGCCGCATCCGACGGCCTCTTGGCCGAACTGCACCCGGTGCCTCGCCTCCTCGCCCAGGGGGCCACCTTGTATAGCGAGAGAGAGAAAGCTTGTGAGAACTCGGGCTGTCGCAGTGACCTTCCGCAGTGTTCCAATGACACGGGCCCGTTGTCTTACGACTGCTGCCACCGCCAGCACCACCAGCACCACCAGCGAATGGGTTGGCGAGCCAGTGAGTCAGCCGCTGTTGCGGCTGTTGGTGTCGGTGCTGGTGGTGATTGAGGATAGGAGGTGTATGGCAGATGCATGACGCTGACGATGATGGTGGAGATTACGGTGGTGGCGGTGGTGGTGACTTTGGCATTCTCGTTTGCAGGTCGGCAAAGGCACAGGTGCATTTCTATCCGTGTTTTTTGGTGGTCGTGCCTGTCTATATCCATGTAACTTCACCAAACAAAATTGCAACAGCGCCCGAACATCTGCCTGTGCATGTACATGTATGCGAGTACATAACTAGTGTCAGCTGCGATTACGTTTATGTTTGCTACCTGTGCTATGATGACCTCTAAAAAGCAAGCTTGTGAGCCCAGAAAGCGAAGCACTGTGCTTAATCGCGAACCTGGCATGTCAGATATCGACTCCTGCGCCGACATGAGGTTCACGTTTTCGGCAAGGAGGATGAGTTCTACGACTACGGTCGTGACGGCTTCGGCTACAAGCCTCAGGAGGCTCATCTGAGGGGGGTGTGGGGCGAGCCGGGCACCTTATAAACCTTCATGCTCTTCTTGAGAAAACCGTTTGCCAGGAGTACTACATTGACCCTGTCATCCTCACGCACGAGGACGGGCATGGGACTGCCGGGCCAGAGCACAGTCTCGGATGTTGGGGCACAAAGGGCCTTCTACACTGCTTACGGAACTTTTGTAGCGTCTATGCACTGAAGGAAGAACCAACCTGACCCCAAAATGATGCCGCAAGGCCCCGAAGCTTTGATTATCCTTCGTGTTAACTCCAAAGATTTTTCCAAACTCTTTGCGTTGCATCGGCAGCCGCCGAGCTCCAAACAACACGAGCTGTTTCGCCCAGGAGGGGCATCAGTTTCCCACGAAGCAGCCGCGCGCGAAGCAGATTTATGACCGTGTGGCTGCAGAAATCTGGAGGCCATGTTCAGGAAGATGAGTGCTGGGCATGAGAGGGAGGAGGAGCAGCAGCACCCCTACCCTTACTCCCACTCCTACTTCCACTCCTACTGTCCTACTCTTTTTCTTAAACCTACTCTTACTGCGATACTGCGACTGCGACTGCTGCTGCTACTGCTACTGCTACTGCTACTGCTACTGCTACTGCTACTGCTACTGCTACTGCTACTGCTACTGCTACTGCTACTGCTACTGCTACTGCTACTGCTACTGCTACTGCTACTGCTACTGCTACTGCTACTGCTACTGCTACTGCTACTGCTACTGCTACTGCTACTGCTACTGCTACTGCTACTGCTACTGCTACTGCTACTGCTGCCGCTGCTACCACTATTGCTACTGCCACTGTGACTATTACTACTACTATTACTACTACCACGACAGCGACCACGACCACTGCCACTGCCACTAGCACCTCCCACTACTACTACTACTACTACTACTACTACTACTACTACTACTACTACTACCACTACTACTACTACTACTACTACTACTACTACTACTACTACTACTACTACTACTACTACTACTACTACTACTACTACTACTACTACTACTACTACTACTACTACTACTACTACTACTACTACTACTACTACTACTACTACTACTACTATTTTTTCAATTGAACGCTGCGCGAGCGTGCTCTGCGCTTTGCGGGCGCCTTTGGTCTCGTGCACTCGTGAAACTGCTTCTAGCATGCATCGCTCATACCTCTCTAATCAGCTCAAGCTACTGAAAACTACAGCTACAAAAGCTTCCTCCTCCGACACCTTGGTGTGAACAGACGCGTCCATCTGTGCACCTGTCACAACAATTAGGCCGTACTTCAGACGAAGCCGACACCTGGAGTATCCGTCTCGTGGCGCCCCACACGGATTACTCATGTTGAAGACAGAAGGCCGTAAGGGTCATGTGCTCATGACCGCGTGTACCTGCATGCATCGCCGATGGAGTGAGGCTGTTGGCAACTTGGACGTGGGCAACTCTTTGATGCAGTGATGTGCTGTTTGTAAGCGACTAGCTCGCGGTTCACAGGCTTCCGAAGAGATTTGCTAAGCGTCGGAAGAGGTCCGAATTCCCAGAGTCTGTGACATAGGGGATCAAAAAGTCTGTGACATATCTCTACCCTCACTGGTCGTGACCTTTTGGCCACTGCTGGGAGTAACTGTGCCAGGACCACTGCTGCCACCAGTCCCAGTCGTCCTCTTGGGAGGAGCGTGCCTGCCTGGCCCACTGGGTCGAGGATGAAGAGGAGGGGGCATCGCGCTGACGCTTGCCCTCTGTGTCAGCCTCTTGCATCTGTGGGCCCTTGTTAGGCGCAGCAGCAGCAGCCAGTTTGGCCATGCGCTTGTCTTCCTCGTGCCCCTTGTCATGCTGAATCCGCATCTTCATGATGGAGTAGGCATCTTTGTTGGGTTTGACCCTGAAGACACGAGCTGGGAGTCCGGCTGATTTGGCCGTCTCATTGTAGACTGCCACGATGGTAGTGGCGATCATGTTGAACTCTACCCACGAAGGGAAGTGCTGCTGAAAGTCCTTCTCGTCCCACATCTTGTTAAAGCAGGCATGGATAAGGCCATGCACCTTTGTGGGGGCATCCAGCTCGCGATAGGCTCCTCCCGAGCCTGTGGCTATAGTGACCTTCCCATCGCTGGTGAGGACCCGCCTCACCGACATGGCGATGTCCCATGTGAGGCCTGTTTGTGTCCTTACTGACTTGATGGCAGAAAACAGCGGAGGTACCTCGCGGAGTGCGTCCATCCTGGTAGACCAGAGGGTCTGCTGCTCGTGGTTGGTGAGGCCTCCGAGAATGACGGGAGCCACCAGGATATTGATGGAAGCCAAGGCCCGAATCCAGTCCTGGTGGGACTGGGAGCTCAGCAGTTGAGCCAGCTCCTGCCTCGTGTATCGTACTGTCTGTTGTGGAGCCGGCTGTGGAACATAACCAACGGGTGCCGCATTGGTTTCCGGGGGCTCATATGCTGACGGGGGACGGGAGGAAGGAGGAGGGGGCGTGTGGGAGCACGTAGCGGCCAGGGTGGCAGGGGAAGGGGGAGAGGCAGACTTGGGAGGGTACGGAGGGATTGGGGAAACAGGGATAGCCGGTGGGGGAGCAGGTGCTGCCGAAGAGGAATTCTCCGGAGGCTGGGGGCACGGGGTGGGCACCGTGGACGGTGGGGCCTTAGCCGGAAGCGCTGGGGCCGCCTTCGGTGCTTCCACCTGGCTTGCCTTGAAAGCCGCCTTTTCGGCCGCCGTGGAAGTGAAAGGGCAGGGGGGAAGGCGGCGGCTCAAAACCGGCTGCTTTGTCTGATCCTTTAGTCCTGGTGCTGCTTGGTGGGAGAGGAATCTCCTGTGGATGCTTTGGGGGAGGGGGAGGAAGTGGTGCGAGGGTTGCCGACATGTCGCTTGGTGCCGCAGGTGGTGACACAGGGTCATGCTTCTGCGTGACAAAGTGGTTTTTGAGGCCGTGGCTAGTGCTGAACTGGATCTGTCGGTTATGCTTCCGGCAGTGGAGGCAGCACAGCCACATGGAGCCTGAAACCTCCATTTGTCCCAAGCCGCGAGGGATGAGCTCCAGCACATCCTGCTCTGTAAGATCTTGGTTATAATGATGGGTCTCGCGGACTGTGGCCATGGGCGCCGCAAAGGAGTTGTGCTGGATGCTGTCTGCCACATAGGTTTCGATGTCCTCCTGAGTAGGAGGAGGAGGAGCTGATGTGGCGGTTGCCGTGGTCTGTGACCTAAGTGGCTGAGGTGAGCTGTGCTCTTCGGGTCGATCGGACTGGATTTCCAGGGAGATGTCGGGAAGCTGGCTCTGCAGCATGCGATCGGTTCGTTCCTTGGTGGTGGGGTCTCCCTGAAAACTGTTCATCCACTTCCAGCACCTGGTGTAGGCGACTGTCGTGTTGTTGGCTGTCACAAAGTAGTGGCCATCGTTGTCATACTTTTTGTTCTTCACGCGCTTGTCCCAGCGCTCCGAGAACAGGTAGATGGGGCCAAACTTGGCGGAAACATTCCAGCCCGCTTGAGGGGAATGACCAAGGTCTCGACTCAAGATCTGCCAGAGAAATTTGCAGAAGATCATGTATTCCAGGTTCGCCTTCGCTGTCATAACCTGACGGCTGAAGGCGTGCTGTATGGCCTCCCTCATCAAAGGGTGCCTGGGCTTGCCATAGATGATGCCTTGAAAGATGTGATCTCCTTTGACTCCGATGGCCATGACCATGAACTCCTTTGGGAGTTGGCCAGGTGGGGAGGGTCTGTGACCCACTTCACCTGCCTTCGTTGAGTGAGCTGTGCTCCAATCTGCTGCCATGAGCTGCAGTACCTGTTCCCAGGGTACCACAAAGCCACATTTAATATCGACATAGAGGCCGCCGTGCTGGTAGTGGTAAACGTAACGGAACACGTCGGCTCTATGAGCAGGTTGACTGAGGCGGTCCAGCAGATTGGAGCCGTACTTTCCGGCAAGTTGCCGCAGGGTAGCCCGAAGGATACCATCGTCACAGAATTTGCGGGTGAAGCCTGCAAACATTTTGACCGCAACTTGGGCGGGCTCCGGCTTGTCGTCGTGGACATAGGTCTGAAAGAGGAGGGCCGGGACGGGGGCGGCCTCCCATTCTGGGAGATGCATGAAGCGCATACCCCAGGGGCCATGTCCGTACTGCATGGCTACTTCCGAAAGATCTCGGACAGTGCGGCATTGTGACAGAGCCTGGGCTGCCAGCATTTCGACATGCATGTCCTGCTGGCGAGCATTCCAGCCAGCAACCACGAGGACAGGCAGTCCTGGGGTGTTGCGCATTTCCTCGATGGCTCTTGTGACAAGTGCCGGGATGACGATGTCCGCAACATCAGGGCGGAAGTGGAGATTTTTGGAGTTGTAGAGCCATTCTACCCCTCCTACTCCAGGTATCTGTGCCAAATCCATGATTTCCTGATTTGGCAAGTTTTTGTCCGCAAAACCATATTGGACCCTGCCGTCTATCAGGTAATCATAATTGACTTGCTTCTCCGGGCGCAAGCTTCTTGACAGCGGAATAAAGCGAACATTGATTTGTCCGTCAAGGTGGCTCTCCAAAATGGAGGCCACCGGCTGACTCTGAACCGCCGCCTTGAATTTGTGCGGCCCAAAGAGGCCAAATTGCCAGTGGAGGAGCTCCATGATGGAGGGGACGCTGCTAGCAGAAATATTGAGGGCGGCGCCTGGACAGCTTAAGACCTGTCCCGTCAGCAATGGGAACACTCCGTACGTATGTCCCCGCAGCATGTGCTGCAAGGTGCTATCGCTGAGCACCAGAAAGGGTCCCAAACTGGGAGGGGTGTCCATGGTCTCAGCTTTAGCTGATGGGCCAGAGTCTGTGACACGCGGCCAAGAGGTGAGCTGTGCTCTTCGCTGAGTCTCAGTTTGTTCTGAAGTCTTAGCTTCTGCAAGGCATGTCTAAAGAGCAAAGCTGCTATGCTTCTGCTGTTGCCTACTGTATCGGCAGTTCGAACTGACAGCTGCGGTATGCATGCACAGCGTTACAGAGTCATATGGCCAAGCACGAAGCTCAGGGCGACGCAGAACGACTGGAGACAAAGCAACAACAGCAGAGGGCACGCGAGCAAGGACTGCTGGTGCCATGTGGTAGCTGGGGCCTCGGATTGCAGGATAGAGCAAGCGATAATGCAGCAGTAGCTTGGTTCAGGCATGCTGCAAGAGCAATTTCTCAGGGCAGGTAGGCAACATATCTCGCACAGTGACAAGTTGAGTGGCTGTGCCACACCTGAGCGGAGGCTGTGCCATATTCCTAGCATGAGTCGATGACATTCCTGTGGCTCACAAGTTCTCAAAGGAGACTGTAGTAGTGGTCAGAGAGAGCACTGTGAACCTCTTCGCCCCTGCTGATTGTTGCTGCTTGCCCGTCTTGGTTGAAGGGGTTCAGGAACTTCTGCACCACGACGTGCTTGCT